AAAATCCTTTTGATTGATTTTGTTTGATCAGTTTCACTGTAACGATGTATTCTTGAAAATAAAGATTGTGTCGATAAAGATTTACTGATGGAGGATGTCGATAAAGATTCACTGGTAGAGGAATCTTCCACACAAAGAGAACTAATGCATAGTTTCAACAAAGACCATTTTTAAGTACGACCGTAGCTCAATCTCGGCGTTGTGGAAATTGCTGCGGCGTGAAGCGCAAGCAGTGCTCAAAGCAAAAACCATTTTTAGCCACTGCTCAGTGCTTTAGCTAAGTCTATCGGACATGTTTGATTACGCTGTTGCAGATCGCTTGACAGTGAAATCTGAGAGATTTTTTTCGACTATCGGCCGCGTGTGCATGCATTATAGTTACTATAGCGAAGAGGTCCAAAGTTAGGTGATACATAGCGAGATCTACGTTGGGCCACTGAAGGATAAACCGCTTATACTACGTACTGAAACTCCACTCCGTTAAGAACCGCCAACCACCTGTTTCCCGCACATTCTTGAATGAATAACCACTGAATAACCACTTTTCACTCTCGAGAATGCCCTTGTCCTGTATGTTTGGTGCTTTAATTACATAAAAGTCGATACGTTCTAATTGCTCTACTTGCTCATTTCAATTTGAGAACTCCCACACTCACTGCAAGAGCGCGTGTTCGCAACAAATTGTTCGCTTATATCTCCACCTACGCAAACTAGCACAAGAAGATTGAGTAACGCCAAGCATATTTTTACAAACTTGTAGCCGTTCTACAGGTATGCCATAGTATATTACCGCAGTGCTCAGAGATAACGATTGCCTAATCGATGACAGCCTAAGCACTTACCATTTTCTATCTACAAACTAAGCAATAGAAACTGCGCCATCAAAGCGACTAGGCGCATTTTTTAACACGTTGACGACAGCGTGCATTTTTAGCTGTCTGCCTTGTGGGACAGTGCCTTCTACAGTAAGTTGAGTATTTTTAGCTGAAATCAAGCAGGCCGGCATTTGCAGTATCCCTACAGTGATTCTGAGAAGTAGCTGAGAAAGCGGAAGTAATTCCCAGGGATAAAGCATAACAGAACTTCTAAAATCACAGTCATTGCATGACCCAACCATGTGGGTCACATTGTCGTCAGTGTGTTAAGACTCACCAAGACAACCGTAGTGTTTGTTCATCAGAAGTATGTCATAGAAACTTATAAACGGTGAACCCATTGTTTCCAGGTAATTTTCGTATTGCTTGTGAGGCACTATTGTTGGTTTCGATTCGTCTTTGCAAAACTGAAAGTCAATTCGTAATTAGACCTAAGCAAAAAGTCTGCAAGTCTGTGACGGTAAACATACGCGTAACCGAAGTAGTGCATAAAACTACCAAAGTCGTAGGGTGTACCATAATTGTTTGTATTTTTTTCTTGGTTGAAGTTGCGTTCCGAGCCACTCTCAAATCAGGCACTTACATTTTACGCGTGCCTCATGTTATGCGGTGCCTATACCCACCTGGATATTTCCGATATTGACGTCAACATAATTTTGACGGTCGAATCTTGAGTGTGTATGATGAACGCCAAGAGCGTGGCCAAACTCGTGCGCAGCAGTCCAATACTAGGAACAAAGCACAAGGTTATAAAAGAAAAGACCCAAGATTATGTTACAAGTCCTTTTATCTTGAAACCTGTCTTTATCTTTATCTTTGTCTAGACCCAAGATTATCAAGAACATGGGCGGATGCAGAAGGAAAGGGTGATTTCTCGTTACTTGTATTATTGGCTGCACCCTATTTATACTTCATTTCTCGGCCTCTGCGATCATCAGTGAACTCGCAAAGTCTGGGAGTTCTACAAAATGCCAAAAACATACATCATCACAGCCTTGTCCCAGTGAAAGCTGTTGCTTTTTGTGGAGGTTTCCAATAGCAGAGTAGCATCCCACTCCGAAAAAAACTTCTACACGTTCAGGGGCTGAATGTGAGCTGTTCATTTTCAAAGCCCTTTTCACTATAAACCTCTTTTACCTGTCTTATTTTCAACCATATCAATGCAAGTATTATCGTGCCACAGCTTAGTCCCCCTCCAAGCTGCCCTCTTCATTTTCTCACCTGCATTAGGGTTTGGAAGACCTCATCTTTCAGTGGTACTGGGCCACTACTAGTGTGCAAAACCTACTTGCTGAGCTGTCGAAAGAGAAGTACAGAACTTTATTCCATTTGCTCACATTGACATTCGCCTGTCTGCGATCACGGGCGCCATCCTCTCCCTCAATCAGTTCGTCAGCTTGCTTTCTGTAAAGAACTTTGAGGGAACGGGGAACACAGCTGAAAACGGTTGCTACTCTGTCAAAATCATATCCCCTTGGTACAGTAGTTCCGAAATTCCAGATTTGTCGTTTATATACTCAATCGAACCTCTTGCTGTCACATTGGTTTGTTTCAGCATCTAAAAAATGCTCATATGAACCTGTCTTTTCGAAATCTTTCACCTTTGATCTCTGAGCTAAGCGAGCTTGCTGTTGCAAGTTTAGCTTTGGAGCTCCTACGTATCTGTCAAGCTTCTGGCGAATTGCAAGTAAACGATCAACATCCAAGCCCTAAACTCACAGTTTCTTTTTGCTTCTGACAGTGACTACGATGCAATGTTACCGCTTTCACTTTAGCCAGTGTTCTTCTGAGTTTGTTCACTTTTTGTTGAACTTTCTTTGTAAGCATGTTTTTGTATCGAGGCGAATCTTGTTACAAACCTGTATAGATTGATCTACAATTGTTTTCCAGAGCTTGTCAGGTAGAAGACGTTTACAGCATCATTCTTTGTACTCACACTTATTAAGTAGCTTGTACAAATGATTTTGTTTAACTTTTAGGACTGTTCGTAGAAGCTGTTGTTCTATTTTCTTAGTTTCTTGACAAGCTTTAATTAATTAAATTAATTAATTTAATTAATTTAAAGTATTCATGTCCAAAGTTGAAGCGCCAGTCATGGAACGCTAACTTCTTCTGTATTGTAGGTACATAGATGACTGTTTGATAGTATGCCCCACTCAGTGCGAAATGGACACTTGTTTTGATCTTTTGAATCGGCAGTACTCACAAATCCAATTCACAAGAGAGAGACCCAAGGATGACTGGCTTGCATTCTTGAACGTGCAGGTGAGAATTGCTAATGGGGAATTTAAGACAAGATGGTATCGCAAACCTAGTTGCAAAAATATCTTAGTGCACTACACTTCGGCACATCTGCGCTTGGTTAAGAATTCTGTTATAAAAAAACATGTACAAAACAGTATCGCAAGTCTCATCTGGACCCCAAGAACGCATCCACTCTTTGGAAATGGGACAGTGTAGCAAGTAGTAATGGGTACCTTCTACAAAAGTTCCACAAATCCCGACGTTCTGCTGCTAGACGGACAAGTTTCGAGGATCAAAAGATTTCGTTCTGCCTACCCTTTATTTCAGATAGAATAAGTCGGGAGGTTCGCAAAAGCTTAGTTCAAGTAGGATTGCAAGATATGGTAAGGATGGTAGAAATACCTCCACCAAATCTCAAGCAGCAATTAGTACGCAATCGCTCTTATGATCGTCTCTGCATGACTAATGCTTGCCCAATTTGTCCGTATGGTAAACAGGGAGATTGTATGGTATCCGGTGTTGTCTATCAAATAGTTTGTAATGCTTGCGGGGCAACTTACATAGGAGAAACAGGACGTCCACTAATTTCTCGCGTCAAAGAACATCTGGATGGTCTACAAAAGTCCAAAATCTCTACTCCACTAGGGGCTCATCGTATAGAATGTCATCAAAACACCACCATAGAAGTCACCGCATCAATTTTAGTGCAAGAATCTGAAATTCTAGCGCGTAAAACCCTTGAAGCTTTCTACATCTCCGCCCGTTCTTCCCAAATGAATAGAAAGGATGACAGTGTAGCCATGATAAGTGATCTTACAGTTTATCAGCGTCTTGGGGACTATAAATAGACAGCGGAGGAGGGTCACGTCAGTTTACTCGGTTCCGCTATCTCAGGATAGTGGACAGTGGCGACCGCCGTGAGTCTTTAATTGTCGCGGCTAAACTTTCGTTACAGCGCTCTGAAGAAGGCGATAAATCGCCGAAACGCGTCAGCCATTTTATTGAGTTCTATACCACCTTGGTAAGCTTAAACAATTCAATAATCGTATATTATAATGCCAAGGTTAATTAACACGTTGACGACCGAGCCATTTTTGACCACCTCAAAATGGACTGATGATCTACGCCTGCGGTTTGGACTGTTCAACACCTACCGCAATGCCGTGTGTTCTATATGACAACCAGGCCACCAATGTTATCACTGCATAGAAGTTGCCTGAGAACTTTTCGTTTAAACATGATAAACTGATGCACGAAAGCGCTAAAAGGTGGTCTGGGCGTGCATACGCGCGGATGCACACGGTCGTCAACGTGTTAACACTCGGATTTTGTTCAATATCAAACATGTAGGTATTGTTTTTTTATATTAGGAATATGGTATTGGTGTTCGAGAGCTTTCGCAACTAAGTTATTATATAAGCGATTGCTACCTGCTTTCTCGATGGCGACGGGAATACATTTTCATCTCCGCATACCTCAAACATAAGCATAAATGAAAACGTTATTTTGAGAAGAGAACAATATCCAATGTTATTGCTGGTATGGCGTACTTTCGAAACTCTCCTCCGAAAATACCCCGCCCCATGAACTAAAATCAAATCTATGAGACATGTACACCGGAGGAGAACAGACGCATAAAGAAGGAAGAAAACAACAAAAAACTGCGAAAGAATTGGCCGTGAGTGTGCGTGATGCGCTCGGAGTGCAATCTCCTTCGCTCGCGGCGCGCACGCTGCCTCATCCCCTGGGTACCCCCGACCGTAGTGGTTGATATGCCCTATACACGTGAATAAAAATATTTGGGAAGATTTCGTAGTTTTGCAATCTCAAATAACCCCTTCCTTCTCTTCATTTTCATTGAGTAACGTCTAGTAATTGCAGAGCATTCAAATCAGTACCAATGTACCTATAGAGGCAGCTATGTTACCAATCAGTGCCAATATACCCGTTGACGTATTCGCTCATGAACTGGTACGCGATGAAAGCAAAACTGCTTTCGTGTAATCATGTTTCTTACAGGACGCAGGAAGAACTGCTGAGATATGAAGAGATAGGATAGCCTAGCAGTTGATAATTGAACCAATATGATTAATAACGAAGCAAAACAGATATTTGTCGATTTCAATACAATAAAGAGTCTTAAGTATGTATTTTGCACTTCCTAAATGAGAATCTTGCGTGTGGCATTACAGACCAGACTGTATCAAATTTGCTATTGCAATTACTCATTTATTTATTTTTTGAAAGCTCTGAAATCACCACTTTTCTGACTAGAAAATTACCTACAGCACACGCCTTATACCCCCTGTAATTCGCCACTTTCTGGCATTTTCCTTTTTTTTCTACCCTTTTGTGCATGAGTAAACTCATACAAAAGTGAATATCTCCTATCGGTTTGCGGCAACAAAACGTTTGCACTAACATATAAGGATTGCTAATGTTCTGCGCGTTGTCCGTAAGCTCTCTCACGAATGACTCGAGGATACTTGAAGTATACTTGGTTTCTTTAGTAATCGCATATTAACAAATAGAAGTGCGCAAATGAAACACTAGGGCAGCGCAAAGGAGAAAAATGGAGAGGAATAGGCACAATTCTGGGAAATCGAAGTGAAATCACCTTAAGGATCCATCTCGCATTTGCGCCAGCACACGTCTTCCATGTCCGCCAGTCCGGGTTTCTGGCGCACACGAACACCGCAGATCGTGTACTTACACGATGTTGCGCACGGATTGATACATCGCGTGCGCCTCAGGAGATCGTGTGCTGGTTCCAATTGGTGTAATTGCCAGATCTTGAACCAGCACATGATCTTGCGATTGATACGTAGCACCACGATGATCCCCAGCTCCCCACCGTCTTTTCTTCAAGGACATTTTTCTATTTCAGAGCTAATAAAATTGTGCCGAAGTTCCACTATCTAACCAAACAATGCTAAGCGTGTTTCTGATAGGAACAGATAATGTGCTGGAATCACAAGAATTGCGATGAACCACAAGTCGAAATGTTAATGATTTCTGTATCATCAACCATATGAACTCTATATTCTGTCCAGACCGTAGGCTAAATAGTGAGCTACTCACTCTTAAGTGTCTAATCACTCAAGAATGAGTGGTACCCACTGGGTGGTGCGCCAAGAGTGGCATCTCCTCTTAAGCATCAACTCGTATACTCTGTACCTTGTATTCGGTTTAGCTCCGCCTTTCTTCGTATATAAGGAGCCTCCAAATGTATTAGAGGTTGCTTCACACCGGAACACCTGGGTATTCTCTGTCCAAATATACTCACAAGCGAATAAATCTATTCCACAACTACTCGTCTACCCTATCACTTGGTCCACACCAAACGAAGGTTGGGGTTTATTGAAAAATTCGATATTTCAAAAACTCATTTGTTCTTGTTAGCAACATTCTTAGCACTGTTGGGTTAGATAATCAGCACAACTTTGCAATGTTTTTTTTGTTGAATTTGAAGGAAGGAAAATGACTTCAAAGAAAAGACAGACGGATGACTTGCCTCAGGCTACTTGTGTGCGGACCCCCCCGCCCGTGCTGGATTTCCCTGCAAAACCCTGCAAGTCGAGGTAAGTCGTCCGCTAATTACGGTACTGAGGACAGGTGCCTTTACGCCGCCTTTAAGCTTTATCTGAGGCGTTTCTTCTCAACAGGCAATTTCCGCCCACTTGTGAATGCAGTGCGATTAAGACCACCATTCCTATTCTGTACACACTCCGTCCCTCTCCCACTTCTATATGCCAGTTCCCTGACACCGCTATTTTTCTGTAATCAACATTGTCTAACCCGTCTGTACAACTCCCAGCTCCTCAGGCCAAGCAATAGGTATTTTCCTAAATGCTACTCGTTACCACCATGCTCAATTAACCCTACGACATTCCCACCTTACTAAGAATTGCAAGAAAAAATCGAAAAAATTACTGAAGGCAACAATGATTCCAAAAGATGATATGTATCGCGTTCATAATCAGCACGCTCACTTAATCACCTGTGCTAAACTCCACTCCCGCAACTCAAAGTTTGCAAAAAAAATTCAAAATCGATAATATTGATGGATGATTTCAAAGATTATTTATTCGTAATCAGCGAAGCCTCCCCCCCCCCTCCCCTTATGGTGACTCCCAACCAATAATCCGAAATTTGACAAGAAATCGATAAAATCGATATCGATCGGTAAAGAGAAGTAGCCCACGACACTCGAAGTGTATGCGTGCAAACTTTGATCAGGTATGTCAGAAATGGAGTTTTTCATTTCATATATACAAATACCAAATAAACAGACACAGGCAGACAGACACGAGGACTAACAGAAATTCAGCTCTATGTAAAAGATGAACCACAAAGCCGTTCTATGTACTTATACATAGTGTGCAGAAGGCGTTATAACCAAAAAACAGCAGGTGCGGAAGAAGACTCCATTTGTCTTCTAGTAAGAAGCTCATTTTGGAAGCTGTAGGTTTTAAGCAGAAAGGATTTCCATCAAAACTTATAATAAACCAGAGCTTGGTCAGCTCTTTTTAGTGGTGCACTCCTCTTACCGCAAATCAGCCATGCACATGAAGCATAGGAGTTGGAATGGACATTATTATTAACTACTAAAAAGCGTTGCCAGACCAGAAATATTTTCTTACCTCTACTACTTGAGATAAGACATTCGTAGTAAGCACAGAGTATGAAAACAAACGAGATTGCAAGTCCAGCAGTTAAGAGCTTCGAAGAGATGAGTGCCTTAACAATGGCTAAACAGTTTAATGTTAGTGAAGCTGTACAATTCTTGTACTCTACAATCAAAGCACCACAGATCACGTCGATGTGGGCATAGACAAATGGCCTGATTAAGCTGTAAAAACTCACTCTTCCTATTTTAGAAGGTGACATTGATGAGCGAATCCCATTAGCATTTGCTAAAGCAGATAATAATTTATAATTTCATCTTAGGCATACGTTTCAGTGATAAGGCAATTCAAAAATCGCTACCAGTAATGGGTTTCTATCGTCGTTTTTCAATAATAGAGCAAATGAAGAGTTGCATTCAGAAGTTTTGAACTTTTCAACTTCTATACCGAAAGTATTGCTTTTGTGCTATCTTATTAACAATAAGAAGAACTGCCAAACGTCCGCAATGCCCTATCAGCTATAACGGAAGTCGACAATCTTTTAAAGTCTATTCACTCACTTACTTAACATAGAGGTCTTATGGCGATTAATGCAGATTTGCTGTATCATAGAATGGACTATGTTTCAATAACATCTGATCAAACACTAGCAAATGGACAAACATGCACGCTCTTCTTGTTTGGTCAGGCTGATTTTAACGCAATCTGGCATACTGAAGCTCCCTGTTCTACCAAATTTGTAATCACTACTTACCTCTACGATTAAACTTGAAAACAAAAGCAAAACACCTGCTTTTATAGGTTGTTCCAAAAGTAAACTCCATTTTCAAATAACTTGAGCTGTTTTTGTTCTTCTTGACAGATTTAGGGTACCATTCGGTAGAGCGGAGCAAGCTCTACAAAAAGACTACAAAGTACTTGAATCGTAACCCAGGTAAAATTTGGAGGGAGCCAAAAATCAAAATTTTTCAGCTACCCTAAAAATCGAATCAAATTCCTGCGGACTTCCAACTAGGTCATTATATTAGGTTGTTGCATAAGTTCTGTCCGATTTTTTTGCCTTATGTTTGAGGCAGCTGTTCTAAGAGAATTTCATCTCTAATGCGGTATTGTTAGTATCATTGGAAATTGCTTTTCTTGCGCTTTCTAAGGCATGTCAAGTTTCAATAAATTTCTTAGTGTAAGGAGATTTCAGGCCTAAAATCTCCAAGTGACCGAGGTACGTTCTCACCTTAGAAATTTGTTCTTGCGAGAAAATCTCCACAATGCGCCTTTCAGGTCAATTTTCAATTGGCTGCGGAATAAGGGTGTAAGAGGCTGGCATACGCATAAGTTCAGTTCCATGAAACAAACGTCTTGCTACTAAAATTTATTGTCAAACATTAATTTTCTGTATAGATGTTTTACAAGCTATAATTTTCTGTGAAGAAGAAGCAATCGACGACTTCAAAGTGGAGGTGCTAGCGTAAAGCAAGAGCTAGCAGAGACCATCCACCAATTCTTTTTCGGCGCTCATAGCAACTGTAAAATTTTCGTAATTTGTAAATAGGCAAGCACACATGCGTTGAAGCGAGGTCAAAAAGTGGCCATTTTTTTGTTCGGTCAAAAAATTTTTTCGGCAACGCAGACCCTATGGGCTCTTTTATGGTGCAAAATAATCTACAAAAAATTCTCTATTTATCCATTGTTAGACAAGATGCCTATCAATTCTCATAAAGGAGCACTGCCATGTCAAATAAGAAAGCTTTGAAGAAAAACGCTGTAAAGTTTTTGAGTTCTTGCTTCTTCCTTAACGAGGATTTTTACAGGCTTCAATACGTGTCTGATAGCCAAGGAATTGCTCAACACACAGAAACTAAGATCTTGGGAAAAAGCTGATTTTGAAAGAAGTTATGACATTTTAAAGTCAAAAATTTCAAGTCGGACAGAATTTATGCAACAACCTAGCATAGTAGACAAGTAGTAGTACCCAAAAATGTGTTTGGCGGATTTTTTCCGGAGCTCAAAATTGAGAAACAAAGGTGGTCCCAAAATGTCAAAATGCCACTTTTTAAAGGTTTTTCATGTAAAACTTGGTATTTCTCGATTATAAAAGTACATGCAGAGGTGAGTTTTGATTATATACTTAGGAAGGGGTTGTAGCATACAACGGCATCTGTGAGAGGGGCTGGGGGCGGAGTTTGCCATTTTTGGACTGTCTTATTTTTCTCGCTTTCTATGGAAGAAAAAAATCCAGCAAAGGTATATTTGAGTACTAATATGTGCCTACTGTATAATGACCAAGTGCGAAATCCGTACGGTTCTCAATTTTGGCTTCAAACATTACATGGAAGACAAACTAGGCGGACCTTTGGCGGTCATTTTGTAAGGCTTGATCTGCTCTATCGAATGATACCCTAAATACACTAGGAAAACAAAAAACGGCTTGAATTTTCAAAAAAAGAGTTTACTTTTGGAGCAGCCTAATACCTAAATAAATGTTCTATATGCCCAAGCACCAGCAAAACAAGCGACCTATGCACTTTATGTCCTATATGGTGATTGATTTTGAACACTTGATAAAAACCATGCTGGAATCAAAACCCTTTATCTGTGAAGATCGACCAGCGATATCTACATTATCGCTAGGCGATTACCTCCCTACGGGACTAGCAAGCTCCATGAGGGAGGTGTTTGTTAGCGATTATTCCGGAGTCTAAAAGACTACAACAGCACTTTCTCAGTACCTGCTTATAACGCAGTTCCCAAAAGGCAAAGGTGATGCTTTACTTGTGATTAAAGTAGTCTTGTTATCATACACCACCACAACATATATAATCAGAACATTTATTACATCAAATCAGCTTTCATAAAATCGAGATCAATTTGGCACTTGGCTGCTTTGCAACATATCAATAACAACAGAGAGCTTTGAAAGCGTAATAATACAATGCATGGCTACATTGACGGAAAATGATTAAAGCAAAACATTAAAATATCACTATTCTACACGTTGCAGTCGCTCAATAATACAAGTTTCAATAGTGCTGTACCATGCCAACCAGTTTGTTGCTGGTCTTCGAAGCTAATTTTTTGATTTCCTCTTGATTTTCATTCTGTTTATTCTTACGTTGAATAATCGCATACAAGTCTGGCAGATTTCCTCAGTGAAGGTTCTTAAGGCCTCGGACAGAGTTCACGCGATTTGATCGTCGCGATTCAATGTTACGAGTTTATGGCATGCCGATCAGCTTGCATTTTGGTTGTGATACTTTTCCAGTTCGAAATTTTTGAATGTAAAATGAAAATGAATGAAAATCGCAGCTATTAAATCGCGACGGTCAAATCGCGTGAACCCTGTCCGAGGCCTAAGATACTATGCGAGCTTTCGTTTAGTGGCAAAATGAGATAACTACAGCACCAAAAACACCAATCCACTCAAAGTTAGGGTAGTGCTTTTAGAGGCAGCGGCTCGGATCTTCAACTATTATTTTTTACTTACCCGGGGTAATCCGACGCGCCGATCCCAAGAACACACCTCAAAGAGCGCAACCAGGGCAAGCAATAGGCGACGAAACATGCAAAACGCAAACAACATAACGCCCGTGACGTACAACTATGCGCCATTCCGACCCTGTTGGGTTATGTGTAGGAGCCAACCCCCACCCCTCTTTTTGCCACCGAAGACGTTTTGCAGGGAGACTTAGGATCCAAAAAATTGGATTTGTTGCCCAACGCCCTATATTCGCGCAAACATGGCGAGAACCAACATTTCACAATACCTTATATTTGGACAAGTGGGTAGTTTTTTCCAATTACTGAACGCAGTTATTGCGGGACCCTTACGATAATATCATTGCGCATGACGCTCTATCGTAAGAGGAATTTCGCGAGCTCGTCACCGCGTGTTAAATTGTATTGCACGCATCGGTTTGGGGCAGTTTTCTTGGCAGGGGCAAAACATGATGTGCGCTAAGATTCTCTCTTTTCGTATTTTAGCGTAAACAAGCTACCAGATCAATCAAAGTCGAAATGTTTTGTTTTGCCGAGCCATTGCCTAGATTCAGTAGCGGGACCCTTGACCAATATCCAAGTCCCATGCAAGGGTGATCTGAAGTGAGAAAATCGTCACAGAAGTTATCTGCCGACCTCTCTGTCCGGCCCATCATCGTGGGCGCCTGGGGATTTGAGCCTTCAACTAAGATTCCAGCCAGCTAGAAATAATAAAAATTCGCTTTTTTGATAAAAGGCGGGATTTTGCCTTTTCACTCATAAGCCTGGAGACCAATTTCGGCCAATTTCCTTGTCAGCCTGGAGACCAATTTCGGACCATCACCTTCAAGCCACAATAATGCGAGGAAGATCGGATAAATTCTATCGCGATTTTCCGCATTTCCACGGAATCCAAATTTGGCAACTAAGCTTGGTCGACTACTTTGCTACGGCATGCTATGCATCAAAATTTCTCCCCCTCGTTGAGACGGTGCATTCAAAAACCGGGGCCGCTCAACAGATAAGAACTTCAAATGGGGAAAGAGATTTGTGGCAAACAACACTCACATGGCAGGTCCCTCGACAAACTTAAGTGGAATCATGGCACTCAGAAATTCTGATTTCAGAATGTAATGTTCGAACTTAAAAGAGCACTCAGTCTTTTAAACCCACGAACATTTCATGGCTTTCTGGATAAGCACAAGCCCTCAAGCAATTGCGATTGAAACGCTGACTTCATGACCATATCAAGCGAGTTTCAATATCTTAAAAATGGAAAGCAATTGGCCTGCACGCGTGGTTGACCAACGACTCTTGTCATAGCAGCAAGAACCAGCAATTTCAATTGGAACGAGACATCCGGGGCAAATCGTAGATGACCCCTCTCAAGTCGTGCCACCTCACGATCGACGCCTTCAAGGAAGCATTGCCAGTACGATCTGGAAATAAGAAAGATTTGGGATAACCCTTGTAAAGATTAAAAAACTGATAAAGTGCAAAAACCGCATCTTCATTGAATAGCAATAATTGTTGCGGTTAAATACTTCAACGCTTCGTAGTCAAATTCGGAAATTTGAATATGCTTGTGATGATGTGTTCTATGTTCATTTTCACATTTTCAAGTGATTTATTAAATTAGGATGTTTATGATGTTCTTATCGTTCCGCAAAAGTAATACTTCGGCAGAAAGATGGCTTTAGACTTTCGCATTTTCGCACTTTCGCAGACATCACCCCCTTGGGGATGATCAGCATGCTCGATTACCCCCCTGTACCAACTCCCAGCCCCCTAGCTCAAACTTTGCAAAAAAAATCGATAAAATCGATAAAAGTAATCGATAATCCCGAAAACCAATATTGTATTCGGAATCCCCATGCTCGATTACCCCCCTATGCGAACTCCCAGCCCCGTAGCTCGAACTTTGCAAAAAAAATCGATAAAATCGATAAAAGTAATCGATAATCCTGAAAACCAATATTGTATTCGGAATCCCCATGCTCGATTACCCCCCTGTGCCAACTCCCAGCCCCCTAGCTCAAACTTTGCAAAAAATCGATAAAAATCGATAAAATCGATATCGATCGATGGCGAAAAGTAGCCTATGACACCCGCCGGGCCCCGAAGTGTATGTGTGCCAATTTGGTCCGGATCGGTTCAGAAATGGAATTTTCTATTCGGAACATACGTACAGACATACAGACAGACATACAGACAGACAGACATACAGACAAACAGACATTCAGCTTTATATATAAGATGAACAATGAACTCACTTAATCCAGTGGAAATCAATTTGTTCCAAAATAGTGATTTTGAAAAAATAACCACTTAAATGAGACAATCCGTAAATCAGATCTTTTGGAACAGCCCACTATATTTATTGTTTTTATGGCGAATAATCAATGTCCGGAATTTTCCATTTCTACGAAATGTTGCAATGCAGGCTTCGCTAATCAAGCTAGATCGGGGAGCATGACTGAGACGCAGGCTGCGCCGCGGGTGCGAGCGGCATTAATTAGGTCACAAAGTCCCGCCTTCCAGCTGCCAAGCCAGTTAAATTGAAGGTTACATTAACTTTGAGCCCAGTGCCTTTCTTAGAAGATACGAAATTTGGCACCAAAAGCACGTATAAACGCGGTGTTGATTTGGGGTTTCCTTTGCATCAAGATTCAATTTTTCAAATTTTCAAAAACTACTATTCGGCTCCATTATTCTCATGGACGATGATACGAATATTTGTGCGTAATCTTTAAAAGTTTGCCCTTTTCTATCAAATGTATTTTGCAGCATATTTTGATCAAAATTTGACATCGTTGGGCTCACGAGACCTAATGAGGTTTGTAAGTCCAAACTTAGGATTTTTCAGAGGCGCAAATTTTGAGAGTTCGTCTCCCTTCTTGTGTGCAACATTAGAAAATCCAAAAATAATTGCCACCAACCCATTTTCTCCCTCCATTCGTACACATCGTCCAAGAATGCCGCGATTGCTGTCCTGGATGAGGAATGGATCTCCTGCAAGAAATATGTACGAGATATTGATTGCTTCGTTGGTGACATATTATAGGGCAAAATAATTCGAAGTCGATTATTCTTTTTTCTAGAAGATTGCTGCTCCTATTTTTGGGCAAAAAAAATACTTGACAGCTGCGAATCAAAAAAATTGGATACTAGTCCACTTAATACAACTGAAAATGTATCTCAGATGCCAAAACGCAGAAGAGGGTTTGGGTCGAATCTGTAAGGTAAGGTCACTAAGGTTACGGTATGTATACGGTGGTTTTCGTCGGAATCCTAGATTTGCTCAAACCTTCATCTAAAAAGATTCCACAACACACTATTTACGACTATATACGATATCAGTCACACGAGTATCACCCTTTTTTCTATCAATACTAAAATAAAAAATTAATAAAAAAATAAAATAAATAAAAACAAAAAAATATTATAAATAATAAGAAAAACAAAATAAATAATTAAAAATAAAAAGTACATAAATAATAAAAAAATTCGGGCCACAAATCAAGTAGGCGAGTTCTATAATATTTTTTCGCTAGCGACAAATTCTAACAAGCCTGCAGAAGAACCCTTTGGATAGTTTTGAACAAGTGGGATTGGGATCCCGAGCCGCTTACCGTATACTCATATAATCCTAAAAAATGACTCTCATGAAAAACACGCAGGAGAAATACGGTATCAGCGTTTTTGCAATTAGCATATCAAATAATCTTTGTGGGGAATTTAAGCAGATTCTGTGATTTGGCCCCACAAGCCTACCGTAAACCTTCACCTCACTAGCGTTATTGTAAGAAACGGATATGATATTTGTAATCTGCATGTCAAATGGCCCCTTTATGCAAATTTACAGCGAATTTTGGGAATTTGATGCCATATCGTATGCCTATCGTATCCTGAAAAAGGCCCTGAATACGAAATAAATACTATCTGTAGAACAGCATGTCAGACCCTATGCAAAGTTTCAGCAATTTTGAAAAATAAAAATTTGTATTTCTGGGGTAAAAAATTTGTATTTTTGGACAGAATATCTAGGTTCTTGAATAGGATTGTGGGGCAGTTGGGTGTATTGAGTGGAATAGTGCCAGATTTTTTTTAGAAAGTGTGTTCAAAGGATTTCTTACCTGGCAAAAAATATCCGATAATGTCACCATTCCAGTCGATTACACTTTGTGTATTTAGAGAGGTTGCCCGTCGAAAAAACATGGGTCTTGGCAATAACGACGACAGTCCACGACTTTGCAACTCCGATAATACTAGAACTCGTCGTCCTACAAAAATTCAAATTTTAACAATAGATGATGCGAAAAAATTGAATAGCATGTAACATTCGATTCAAATGGCTTGGCGGTTCGAAGGAGGGGCTTTGTGATCTAATTCAGGCCGCTCGTGCCCGCGACGCAATCCATGTCTCTCCCGCGCGCGATCATTACCTAGCCTTAATTAGGTCGCGAAGCCCCGCCTTCCAGCTGTCAAGCCAGTTGAATCAAAGAGTATATTGGTTCAATTACTTTTTCTATTGCAGTTCTAAGCCACCCTCCTAGCCGAATTGACCGGAAGATTCTAAAAATAAGGCAGACAATTCACAAAAAAACCAACCGTATGACTCGATAACCCAAACAGGTCGACCGCAACATGCTGATTCGGCCCATATATCGAAGAGAGGGAAATCAGCAGAATCTGTGACCTGGAAATGGTCATGTGAGAAGAGTTTGGAAACTGCTGATTATGTGTAAAAGAAATATTATTTCTACTCTTTATTCTCCTCTCCCCCCTCCTTTCCCCCTTCTCCTCAACTACCTCTGCTCTGCCTTTTATAATGTCCAAGGTAATTTAGAAGAAAGACCTGAAATCAGAATTCTGCAAGGTTGCGTTTTTTGCGAAGCATTTTTTGGAAGGACAAAAGGAAGATGGTATCTTTCTCAAAAAATTATCTTCTACAAAATTTTAAAGCCATTAGGCCAGCAACATGGGCAATAGAACATCCAGAGCACGGAATCCACGACTAACCTTCATGATATGTACATCTTTCCAGTTGCTATAAAAGTTCAGGTTTTGAGAATTCTTGTATTTCTAGATCAATCGATGTTATTCCGCTTCTCTGCGCCCCCCTCCCTCTCCCCTCCCCCCGGACTCCCTTATGACCACATGAACTCGAGTTGTTTTTCGCAATTTTCTTACTGCCCTTTTGTTCCTTGCGATTTCACAATCCTAATAGTACATGCTAAATTTTCCCAGATTTTAGGGGGCTGGGACTTTATGGGAGGGGGGGGGATAACTGAGATGCTGACTTCGAATGAAATATTCGTCAAAATCATTGCTCGGTTGCATATACGATTCTCCCTGAACTGTAAACTAGAGATTTGCATATAGAGGTGTATAGGGGGATGGACCAGAACAACAACTGGTTGAAATCTTGATCTATTTGATTTTTGAGAGAACTCTGCATTCAAGCTAAGTTTCCGAGTCCTAGCATAGGCAGGAGGAGGGAGGGGGAGGAGGAGAGGGTAGCAGTGGTTGAATTTTTGACCGCATAAACAACAGTCGCTTCGCAGAACTCCATTTGTAAACAAGGCACGAAATTTTGTTTGGGAGACTAGGGTGTCATAAGAAAAAAGTGATCACTGTTGAAATATTTTTATATATCATGCAAGATCTGAAATCAAAAAGAATGACTGCCAGAAATCTTCTGTTCTTTAGCGTCAGCGCTTGTGCAGGCGATAAAAAGAGAAAAAACTATGAGTTTTCCAATTTGTGAATTTGAGTTTTTTGTCCTTTTGATGTTGCACATTAGTGTACAAATCACAAACAGTTCATTTCCATAATGCATTTTTGGGGGCCGGGTGAGGGGGAGGATAGAGAGATTTAGTTTTTTAACGACTCAAACGCGCTGAACAGTGCTCATTACTTTGCTTGATTAAACAGCTGGAATTAGTAAGCGGACCATCGGGATCGCATTCATGTATCGAGATTTACCTTTTATGTACATAGCTGACGCCTAGTAATCATCATTCAGATATGAGCTGCAAGCTATGCACACCATTTTAGGATTCCATTGGCGCTAAGTTGGGGGTAAAAATCTTCATTCCCAAATTTTGGGCAAAAAACTAACGAATATGCAAGAAACGCAATGAGAAATGAAATTTGGTTAGTTGTCCACTTCCGAGTAGGGACTATCCCGCATAAGCTGATATTTTTCTTGTGCCTGATGGAGAAGTGACGATCTGGTACTAAGACTCCCAGACTTTTCATTGCAACTTTGAGATAGTACAGCTTCAAATTGAGCATAGCTCAAATTTTTCCCTACTTATTTTGGCCACGCTAGCCCCAAATTCGGTAAACAGTGGAGCTTTATAGCATACAAGAAGTCGTATAGTCCCTCGTATAGTCGTCAAATGACTCAATTTGAGCTTTACAGCGCCTTCAGCTGTCAATATTTTTTATTTTACTCGTTGCTCATTTCGAATAAGATTCAATGGAGTAAATTAGTGCGAAAAGCTTGATGGGTAGAGCAACCAAATGAGAAGACATAAATTTGCTTTCCTAATATATTATTGACTCATAAACAAAATGATGTTAAGCTTTATGCAGAAGTTTGCGAAACATATGGCGTAATTTTGCCTGGACATGCACAAAAAGTTCAGTCCCAAAAATCTATATAGAGTACAAAAAGGTACCCGCTTTTCAATTGTTGGCAACCCCTTTATCCCTATTTTTCCGAAATTTCCAGATAACTTGAAGGGCTGCTTCAACGTGGATAATAACTTGTAAAATTGGTTTTGGTTACTGTAGTATTACGGTGGGAACTGAGCGGGCTATGGGAAACTTATGACAGTTCCAAAAAATATCCAGTTTTTGAAATTCTTTGTGAGAGCGTTGGACATTCTGAATAAAAGAATAACATTCTAGGCTCGAAAGACTGTTTAAAGGATGGAAAATCAAAATCTTGAGAATCTTACATCATTTTCAGGGATAGGTAATTATCAGTATTGCTAACGAGAAAACTGCTGCAAAATGAAGTTAAAGTTTTCAATTTCCTAGTTTCTCCTGACAAAATTTCTTCTTGAGCGATTTGGAACTCCCTTGGATGATTCTATCGTATTCCTACAGTAAGAGCGAGCAACATTTACGCACATGCTGTATTTAGGGTAAATTTGTTCATAAAAAAAAGTAAGAAGAAGGAGTAACAATACGCGAGTATTTCCTTCATAATGATGAAACCCCGTATTAGGTTCAAAAGATTGCTTTTCAAAGTAATCTGATTGTGATTTAAAGTCTTCTTGATAATTCTTGAAGAAAAGTTAAAAATTAGATGTCTATAAACAGAAATTCTTGCACCCCCCCCCCACCTCTTTCCCCAATCATCTCTTTTCTCAGAGCTTCCAGCTTCTCGTCGACTACTCTATCGCTATGACAAGTTAATCGCTGGGACATTCGGACTAACTACTCAAAACCCATCATAACGGATCTGTTACGGAAGTTGTACATTTGCTGTCATTTGCAGAACAATCTGTCACTAAATACAAAGTCTTTGCCCTTTTCAAGACTGCTGTACATCCGTAGAGGAACGCATGTACAACGTTTAGGTAGAAATATGAGTCATGAACATTAGCGAAGGTTATATAGGCAAAAAAAAAATTATAGGGGATGTTTGCAAAAGCTTTTCTAAATATTGGAGCTACTTATTTTGCTGAGAGTCAGGTGGCAGTAATTCAATAAATTGATTCAAAAATATGATATAGCCTTTACCCTTTCAAAGTAATTAGTTCGGCTGAAAAATGATTCCAGCCTTTTTTGACGGTGTAGAATTATTACGAGTGATTTTGCATGTATTTTGGTACAACATGAAGGAATAATTCAATAGCATCAGAATGTCAACTCTATTCAAGCAGAATTTTTTTGATGGCGATTAGAGCAGAGTGGTAATCAAATTTTTTCAATTTGTTTTTGCCATGCCATGAAGAAGATAAATTGAAATGGGATCTCGAATGCATAGTTTGTACACGTACGATTTTGACGTTTTCACCGTATGGATGGCTATAAATGGTCAAATTCAAGCTTTGGACTGGAGCGAATCACAAATTTGAAAAGAAAATGATTTTTTGGGGCTAGCCATGAAAGACAATCGCAATTTATAATTGTGAAAAATTTTCATAATTTTTGATAGCAGAAGTTTGAAGTGTGTCCTTTACCCCCCCCCCCCACCAAAAAAATTCCAGCTTATTATTGAGCAGCAATGTAAATTGTGATAAAACTTTCGTTCATTTCTAACAAGAAGTGTGACATGGTGCTAGCGTGGTTTATATTTTTGAAGCAATATCACTGCGTTGTACTACTGCTGGAATAGAAAAGTGAAAAAAAGGGAAAATTTTTGTGTTGAGAAGTTTTTTTTTGGATTCCTGGCGGAACTAAAAATTTATGTGCTACCAGTTCTTTGGTATCTTAGCTACGTATTAGACTGAGACATAACTCTTGCACCCAAAACTCCAAAAAAGGTTATTTATAATGCTCAGAGGGGCGTTTCGTTCTAAACAGTGATCTTTTTCTTTGTTCTAGAAATTTCTGGGCCCTTCAGCATTTTTGGGGAGTAACGGTTGGAAAAACACAATATGAGTGATTACCTATCAGCTTATATTGCCGAGATATGACAGCGATTTTGCTTCGCAAATATTCAGAAAGTGTGAGGTTTTATTCTAGCAAATTGAATTATTTCAAACAGATTCATTCAACCTGGAGGAAACTATCGCATTTTGAAAAATTTGGATGCAAGACTTTCTTTCAACCTAATATTTCTATCAACTTTATTCTTACATATTAGCTTTAAACTCCTGCTCTTGTTTCTTATTAACTTTATATTATAGGAAGTCGAAAACTGTAAGCCGCAGATACATTTTGATGAATTACGTAATTTAGTAATATGATCCGCCCTCATACCTCACACCCAATAACTATAAGTTTCCAGCAATATGTGCGCGAACCAAACGAGCACATTAGCGATCTGTACGAAATTGAATTTGCTGGGCTTTACTGCGGAACGGAGGTGTAAATGACCGAGCTTTTTCTATGGCAAACTCTGCACATGCCATCGTTACTAAGAAAGAAGTGTAATTGAATTTGTGCGAGCTAAATGTTTTCTGTTTGGGAGAAAGGAACTATTACTACCGTGATATTACGATCTCTACTTACAGCAAGGGAGAATATGTAGGATAGAGAAGGGGAGGGGAAGAGGAGAGGTGAAAATATACGAACGTACATATCTTCGTAACCCTCTCATCAAAAGAGAATAGACAGGATCACAAAAAAAATTTTTTTAATATGTAAGAAAGATATTCTTCGCACTCTAAAATTTCTTGAAATAATCAGCAAATGTGATTTCTACCCACTTCTGCTGATGAATTTCATAGGGGGGGGGGATATGTGCCTAAGGAGACTTTGGATTTTTTAATGGAGGAGGGGGGGGGGGGCAGAACCTCTATACTGAGGCTTTTCGTGCCAATACAAAAATCTGAACATCCTTTTCTTCAAAAATTCGCTCCATCGGCTGCTAAAGCTGTTACAATCACAACCATTTCGAGAGGGGGGAGGCCGCAATTTTTTTTGGCGGGGACGGTGGAGGGGGGGGGTCGAGAGGATAAAGTGGTGAGTTGATAGAAAACTTTTTTGATTACAAGAGTCTTTACCATGCGTTTTTATTTCAAAAAATGAAAAGTGTAAAACAAGCAGCTGTAGAAATTTTAAAAACCACAAATCCTATACACTTTTTAAAAAATTCTGGAATATCTTTCAGTGAAATAATTCGAAGTTATGGTTTCAAAGCTCACTGACCCTCCGGGAAAACCCCTAAGCACAACTCAAACCCTCGTTCCCATTCGTCTCCCTTAGACTTTCTTTCCCATTACCACCTCGCCTAAGCGCCTGACCAACCCAAGCTCATTTCCTATTCCTCCTAACGCCGGCGACGATGGTCCCCGGCAGAATTAGAACCTCCAGAAGGCTCCACGGCCTATCAAATTGCTAGAGCGTGTTAATTCCCTCTTAACGACCAACCACCACCGAACATTTCAGAATCGATAACTGGCCTCCGGAGGCAGTGAAGCGAAATACTAATGAACTCAAATGGTCCTACGCACACGCTCTATGCATGCATTCGAAATTTACTGAGAAGAGAATTTATTCATTATGCGATTGCGTGTGCAGTGCAGATTCAACGTCGTGACTATGTCATGACATCGAAATTTTTCATGAATGGATTTTGGCAGAATCGGCCCATGATCAGATTGGCAACAGGTCATAAATGTTATTCTCGTGGAAAACTCTGCTTAGACAAGATCTTAGCGCTTTTCATTTTTTCAGCACCAAGTAAGTAATTGAATAAATAATTGAAAAAGACTTCTGTTATATATCTCGCTTCTTTTTTAGGAGATTTTGTGATTTTTCAGGGAAAATGGGGATATGTTAAAATTGTTCCATGTGAATTTTATAGTCCCAAGGAGAAGTTATTTTAGCTGTGTTTTATTTTAGGTTTTGAAGCATGTCTCGGAGCTCTTAGAATAAATGAATAAGCTTTAATAGAATAGAATTTTTTGATTTACCTGGAGAATAAACTCATTTTGTCAAACCAGGAAATTGTAATTCTTTTTGAGTAGGGAAAAGAGTGGAAGTGCACGGGTAAAGGAAACAATAAAAATATTTGGCTCTCAGAGAGTTTGGGTAGTGCAAGGTTAACTATTGCATTTCAATAGTCTTATTTAGATATGAAAAACAATATTTGATTCAGTAAACGAGTTTTCACAAATCAAAATCGCCGTAAAATTTTACTAATAGGCCTGAACCTTAGGTGTAGGATGATTTACATTCAGAAAAATTAATTTCGTTTACAGCAGTGGCGGAATTTGTAGAATCTAAAAGCTGTGGTAAATTACCTCACGCAAACCTAAATGCGCCTTTTTAGACGATACTAAATTCGGCCACTTATGACGTAGTGTGCAATTACGTAGCATTGAAGTTCAAGTAATTCAACAGACTCTTTCGGTCTTTCTACCCATTTTTGAAATGCTGAAGGTGAAGTCGATAAGCCACACAAAGCATTTCCTGAGTCTTTTTTTCTTCCACCTTCTTTTCTTCAAAGAGCAAACATTTCCAAATCCAGAAATCAAAATAAAATGCAATGGATGGAGACCAACTGACCTGCAGCTCACATCCGGTGTGATGTATTCGTAAATGTCGTGAGGTCGACAAATAAAAAAGCACTTGGCTTTTGCTAGGCACAATGAACGACTTCTTGCTGAAGCTGTTCACTATCTCTTCTTCAATGTCTGTATCTTCTTGCTCACGTGAAGAGCATGGCTATAAAAATAACGTAAAAAGGAGAAAATCAAGAAAAAGCGAAAGATTTTCTGCACATACACTCGAATAACGTATAAAGTAGGGAAGATGCAGTACCCACATTGATTCAAAATGGCAAAAGAGTGCGAAACGACGGAATAAAAGGATTTAGTTTAGAATCCAAAGCGCCAACCTGAATAATTGATGCACTTTCGACCACACCAGTTTGTTCGTTGAGGACTTCACGATATTCTGCTGGTGGTGGAGGAAATGCTTCGCTGGGAGTTTCTTCGAATCTGAAATAGCAAGGTATCATAAATATTATCTAACATATCAATTATTAATACGTAGAATTTTATGAGGGAAGCCTTTCTGAAAAATTCTAGTTTCAGTGTTACCCTATGTTTCTAGGTGTTTTGTAAGATCATCATCAAATACTTCATTTATAGATTTAAGAAAGGAATCAACCTATAAATCTCCAAACTTTTCCATACATATAGGGCAGTGGGGGAGCTTCTCAAAATTTTTGCGGCCCATAACCCCTAAAATCTAGAAACAGAGGGAGTGGTGGCGGCCACGCCCCCGAAAAATATTTTTACAATGCCAATTTGAGTTTCAAAAATTATTTCAGATGTTTACAATAATAAACAAATCACTTGCACATTTTCATAACTCATGTAAGAAAACCAAAAATTTGCGACTCATCTCTCCGGGAGGGGGAGGGGGGGGGGGGATGTGCGCGTTACGATATAGAGGCACAATCAGAATAAAGCACTACTTAAAGGAAAGGTTTTTTTGAAAGCATATCATTTATGGAAAATGGTATCACCCTATCAATTACACATTCGAAGAACTTTTTTGCATATTGAAGTAGTGTTTTGAAGTATAATGAATGTAAATCAACTGAAATCAAGAAGTATAAACTATCAAAAAAAAATTTTTTGGTGAATCAGAACACGAAGCAGCAATCTGAAAAAAATCGAGAAAAAACTAAAACAAAATTGGCAACTCTCTAAAATTTGCTTAACTACACACCTTTTTTCATCTTGAAATAATCTTCCTTTCAGAATGAGTATAATGCTAGCTCGAATAGTATCATGCCTGCTTATTATGATACATTGTCAATGCTATTTTTTTCGAATCACCGGAATTTTTTTCGCTTACATAGAATTGAAATCGTGGCATCATTTCTCAATTTGTAAATTTTGCATGCCATCGATTCTTGCCCTTTTAGGCTGCTGCTGAATCCATTATCCATTACTCACGTAACTGCATCATTAGCAATGCATACGATGTCATTCAAACGATGAGAAAACGGATGCTGTTGTAACAATGGGACTTAAAATGGGCTTAGTAAGTGATTTATAAGGTCATTTACGGAGATGAATAATGGGCTAGGCAAGGTTTTAACAGCTAAGCTAGAATTCGACTAGGCCCTAACTTTGTTATTAGGCATCAAATGATTATTTGAACTCTCATATCAACTGGAATGAAGTTATTTTGTAATAATTTAAACAAAGTGCGCAAGTCGAGGAATAAGATAAAAATTCTTCTTGATTTTCACGTAGAACATGTATTGTGCATTCAAAAAAAGCTTTCAACTGCTAATGATGTCAGCTGCCTAGGAGAATCGATATAGGAGGCTCGGCGAGCTAATTGCCGAATAAATTGGATTTCGACAGATTTTTTTACCATTTATTTCGGATAAAATATTGTCCTGCACGATTGGCAAGCATACGGCTGGCTATAGATTAACTGTACAAAAAATTGCCGTACTTAATTTCTGCATGAAGTAAATCATCGATTCTGCCGTCATTTGCACAAATTATTTATGAGATGTATAAGATCCCACATTTACCACTTCTGGGACAAGAAATCAGAAAATCCTAAGATGCAAGTCAGGGGAAAATTTGTAAATTTCTCAAGAAAAAGGTGTGGTTTACTTATAATGCTCAAAAATTTTTATGCAACTACTTCGGGGCAAACATGAAAACCAAAATATTTGATTACGTTTCTTCCAAAAAGATAAGGAAAGAGATACTTTTTACAGAAAGTATGAGGACGTCTACACTATTAGATTTGCGGCAAACCATAAAATTAAAAAATCCCACATCATTTGGGGAGAATGTACAAACTTTTCAAAAACGTGATAAACTCGAGATTTATTCACGAAGTGTATGAAAAATTTCATAATAATATAATTTCATTATCATTAGTACTTCAATTTTCAGGCCTTTTTTTCAATTCTAAAAACCCAAAAAATATATTGTCAAAACTTAAGAAGCAAGATTAGCAGTTATGTTTAGGTGCGTATAATCATGGGCAATTTCACTATATCTTAAAAAATAATGCAAAATCATTGTACAACTTCCAATTATTATTCAGAGTCAGTTTTTTGTGAAACTAATCTGTAATATTTGATTTTGTACCTTCTGTCTCTAACATCGAGTAATGGCAAGTAGAGTTCTCCTTGATTGCTTCGCCTATCCGATGCTATTAGTCGAACATTCATGACGGACGTTTTCGTGCCCCTTTCGCAGTTGAGTAAAAATTGCAGAGAATAGAAGAAAAAGAAGAAAAAGAGAAGTGTTATGACAGAACAGCCAGTCGAAGCAGAGAATGGAGCAGTTAACGCCTCGCAAGCGAAAGAATTATCGCTAACGGGGAGCGGCAAGAAACGTCTAGGGTAATAAAATATGCACGGCAGCTGTCTCGCAATGATGTATTAACAGCTGACTAAGTGCGACTTTTTTACCCGCGAAGGGGGAGAACCATGGTGGGCGCCAGAGGAAATGGGTTTCCTGCTCTCATGTGCATTCTCTAAAACAATCAGCAAAAATATTAGAGAAGAAAATTTATAGATATTTGCTTTTAAAGATGTTTGCCCCTGTGTAAACAATAAGCACTAAGTAGCGAGTGGGTGGTAAAGGAAGATGGATTTGCAGACCTCCGTGGAATCCGCAAAAAGAGAAAAAATTGTTAATGTGGTTCTGGAGTTCGTTCTTTTTTGTCGGAAATCGAAGTGTAGCAAAACTGATATCTGCTGTTTTTATGCTTCCATTTTTTCGATTCATATGAGTTTTACATAGATACTATAAAATGTAAGCCCCTCCCATACGGTATGTACTAAAGTTAATAAGTAAATGCATACATATAAAGATGGCATTTTATAAAATGCTAAAAAGATAAAAATAAAAGCGAACTTGGCAAACTCCACCCCTTTCATGACGAGCTCCGCCCACATGCAAACGTATCTCATAGAGATATACTTGTACTTCTCATTATTTGACCCAGTCCAAGTGGACCTGCTGTATTTCTAAGTAAATTAAGGTAGATTCATGGGTTTTTCAAGTACAATCCTAACAAGGAAAGGATACTTGGTAACTGTGGCCATTTGGAATGCGATACCATGCACCTCGAAACGCTGATTCTAAATCCGTGCATGATATCTGCGAAACGATGAACTTTTTTTTCGTAGATAATTAGCATACTGTGGGTAGTTAAAATCACCATATTTATTCTAGATACCATTTGAAGCTATTGAAGTGAATCTTAGAAAGAATACTGTTCTTATACCTATTTAGGTTATATGCAGCATTTGAAAAGAGAAGAAACTTTATTATCGATGATCTTGATTCTCCGCAATAGCGCAATTTATTCATGAAAAGATAATCATAGCCCCATCCAGGTTATCATTTCGCTACGCAAGACAGTAGTCGAACCAGCATTGGAAGGTGCATTCTTTTATGTACAAATCATTACGAATGGCCACAGTCACCAGGTATTCTTTCCTTATAAGTAGGATTTTATGGGCAAGAAAAGGGACTGCACTTGTTTTGATTTTTGATTTCTTTGATTTTCTTTCTTTTTTTTTGACTTTTCGTTCCATTTTCACGATCTCTTATTAGCGCAGGGTCATACAGGACATTTGATGCCAAATTTGGTATAGACATTTATTATCATTGTTCATAGAACCTCGTTTCTGTGCACTAATGATTGCTGGAGGTTGAAAAATGAACGTCGTTGCACTCTTGACCCGATCCCGATACGAGAAAGTTTACCATTTGCATGTTTAATATAATAGTTCGTTATTTGTCTATTCATGTAATCCAAGTCGAGACAGGAAAGAGCAAAAAAATGTCAATAATGAGAGGGGTGTCTGGTCTACCTTCTTGAGCAGTTCCAGGAAAAGTTCGCAAATCTTTTGGCAAAGAAAGCAAATGGGATGAAATATGCTTGGAGACACTGTACTTTTCTAGCAGTTATAGTGTCATATAGTCTTTCATAACTTTTCTAAGCTAACATAGTTTTCTTTTCTTTTTACGGTGCACCCTTGTGTGTAAACAAACAAATAAATAAATAAATAACATTATTCTGCCACTGCAGAACCTCAAGCATAAAAAAAATTACTCCGGTAAAGCCCACAATTATAATTAAAAAAAGAAAATTCAATCATAACGGCAGCGGTTGGAATACCATTTTTATACCAAATAAGTATTTTATTGTTTTTAATGGGATACTTCTTTCTGTACCTGAGTTATACTTTTTATTTGCTTATGATAGAATTCAAAGTTGAATCTGGTTTATGCAACTCCCTCTGACTGCCCCATTACTTCCAAACTCCTCGAAAGTCAACAAAAACCTTTGTTCCTTGGTCTACCACTTATTCATCCGAACACTCAAAGCCCCATCATCGATTCCCTTCCACGCTAATTTATGGTCTCGCCCCCCCCCCACTCCTAAATGTGCGCGTGCCGAGTCTACGATTTCCTTTGTGCACTCGTGCCCCAGAGCTTAGGGTTGCACTAATGTCAACGGATACCTGTGGGAATAGACGTAATGACCGGGATTCGGCGTAGCCGTCGGCGTACCCTGCATCACATCGCCATTCATTCCTTCAGATGACGTTGAGGGGGCCATTAAAGGTCGCCTAAATCACTCGAGATTAGCCACGGTTGCCCGATAGAGTTGACAGATGACTGAAAATGAGATTAGATTGTGGATGGATTGGTGACATTGGAAATATAGCAAGAAATCTTTGAAAAATTGATTTGGGTGGCAAATTAGGTTGACGACTGGAGAATGAGGGATACTGTAGATGAATGCAAAGCGATTATAGAATAGATGAATAATATGGAGTTGCATCTCAGACAACTGAGCGGAACTTCCGCAGGACAAGCAGGATTTGCAGCTTTCGCAAGATTTTCTTCACTATTGCGTGGAAACGTTGGAAATGGGAAATTTCGCGGGACTTTCACTTCAGACTTTTTGAAAACGGACTTCCGCAAAACTTGAATGAGTTCACTCTTACGATGTTGTCTCGCCAAAAACTGAAGTGCTTTCTCGAAACGTTTATGGAACTTGGGCAGGTGACTCAAAGGAACTTTCTCAAACGTTCTGTGGAAGCTCCGGTCAGTTGTTTGGAATTGTGTTATTGCGGAAGAGCTGCCGAAATTTTTTTCAAAACGCTGTCTTCCAGTTTTGGCAAAGTGATGTATTGAAAAACAGCTCATACGAAAAAATGCGGAATTTTGGAATCGGTTCGTAAAACTGCTATTTAACGATGCTCAGCAATTTCGACGACATGTCACTTATGTTCAAAAAGTGAAAAATCATAATTCTAATATAGTTTGGAATTCGTGCTCTGGGTCTCAACTAATAAACAAGGCTTTTGTTTTTTGAAAGCCACATTTATATGATGCGATGCAACAATTTATCATACATATCAAAAATGTTGATTTTTGTTGCATATTCTCAAAAAAATTCAAATTTTTTGGGCTTTTCTGCATTATGTGGGGATTTTGAGGAGCTCGAGAACCAAAATTAAGTGAATAGAACGACTAGAAGAGTGTGAAAAATTTGCTAAATGCGCGCGAAATGCTAGCACGCATGTATTACCAAAGTTTTTAAAGTTTAGTAGGAAGAAATTACTAAAGTAAGAATTCCCAAAGCGGATTAGAAATCCCAAAGCGTTCTCCTCGTGGAATATCAGGCCAGCAATCTGGAATTTGAGTAAAAGATGAAGGGTTGGAAAGGACAATCTAAGCGTGGATAAAATTTTCCAAAAAAAGACAATTAATTAAAAAGTTCAGTTTTTGAGTCAACTTAGTCTGCTACAGCGAATCAGCGAAAACTACTAAAGGAAACATATAACAGTAACTATAATTATTGATTACGAGTAGATCTGGGGGAAACTTCTCGCAGATTTTTACCCACCTTTGCGCCTTCATCAAATATAGCCCCTATGATCTGAGCTTATGTGAACAGCATAGCATTCAACAACTCAGACCTCTCAAATTTGCGGATTATAAGGACATTCAAAATAATTATTTTTTCAATTTGAAAATTATTTATGAGCCGCATTGCAACTAACACTATCGCAGTTTTATGTTATGCTTTTCTCCCAAAATCAAAGATAACGAAAATGTTAATTAAATCCTTCGGAAGAATTACTCACCTCGAATAAACGCATATAAAAATAAACATCAGTTATGTATAGGTACAAATACACAGGAAATTGCCTGCAGCTACATTTTTGTCAAGGAAAAACAGAAAATTTGAAGGAGTTTTCAAAGGAAAAGTGGCTCTCTTTTAGGACAGCAAATCGAGAGGCTTCTACGTCACTTCCTTGCTTTTAAATTTTTTCATAGTCTTACGATTTTGCGAACTTTTGGAACAGGGATAGTTAGTATAGATTTTGCTCCCGAGCTTATTATGGGTAATGCGCATGGGTAAGGTTTGTTATACAAGCAAAATGTCATATGCTAAGATAAATAGCTAGAAGATTGTAAATCACCAAGGTTTGGTCTAGAAAGTTCCAAGCAGAAACTTCGTCCGCATTTCTTTTTCACAAATCATGGAACAAATTGGTTTTCCGCGGTTCTAACAAATGATCATGCCATCGCTTGGGAGCTCACGTCACGGGAATGTGATAAATCTTTCTGCAAAATTCCGTCTAACTAAATTTTCCCCAAAAACTGAGCAAAACGAATTCAATTGCAGCTGCAGTCCTAATGGCCAATTTTGACAATATTGGATAATATTCGCCCGAGGGGACAATTTATTTTGAGGCTTCGCCTACCAACTCATTTTTTTGTTCGCTAATGACTCGTTGATGAATTGGTAAAAGCTCCCACTGCATTACTGTATTTTAGAAAATTCTCAATTTTGGGTAAAAAGGGATAAATTCGCGAAGAAGAGAAACTACGATGATTTGGCAGCAAAGATTACAGTGGTAATGGGCAAAAAATAGTAAAAAATTAAAAAACATTGACTTTCTTCTCTTCCATCTAGCTTTTGTTATTTTATCATATGGTTTTCAATGCTTTTTACGACTAAAAACTCAAAATCTGTCTTATAGTGTTGAATAACATAACAAAACAATGATTAATGGTAATTAATTAATAACAAATAAACAATATTGATTGATAGTACATAGTTGATGAACATTCCGCATGGGAGCTCACGTTGCTGAATGCGATAAATGTTTCTGCAAAAGTTCGTCTAACTAGTAAATTCACCCAAAAACTGAGCAAAACGAATTCATTGCAGCTGAAGCTAGAATAGCCAATTCTGGCGATATTGGATGCTATTCGCCTAGGGGGACAATTTATTCTTCTCCGCTATTACTTATTTTTTGCCCGCTAATGACGCCCTTAATGACTGCAAAAAAAAACCTGCACAGCATGCATTCTTTACACTGCGTAATAAAAAGTGGTTAATTGCAGAGGGAAGAAACTTAGGTGGGCAACGAAAAGTAGACTGAAATTACAGAAACGTGGAAAACGAAATACGCAAAGATTAGAACAAATCAATATATTAATAGATTTCAGCAATTGTCGAGTTATCTGATTCTGAAACATAATTCTCATTGCGTTTAGAATTGAAGAGGCCCTTCAAAGATTGCAAAGAATTTGATGAGCACAAGCAAGAACTTTTGGTCAAAGTTGCTATGAAAGTTGGAGTAAAAGTAAAAGTGAAAGTTTGAAAATATTTTGGACCTTTTCGGTCTTGTATAAGAAGGTTTTCTCTTTTAATAGAATATGTGAAAGTTTTTGGAATCTTAATTTCCTTCTTCTCATTCAATCACCCCACAATGAATTCAAACCAAATGCATATCAGGCAGTTCAGTTCTCCAAAAACTTTCTATGGAACAAGATTTGGTCGTGAGTGGTGGAAATTGTCCTAGAATTCCTATGATAAGCCTACTGTAACGCACTTAATAATTTCTGAGCTATACCTACATTGGAACCATAACCATTGATATGGCACCTATTTTAAGACTCGTGGGAGACAGGGAAGTCATTAGCCATCGAAGAATGAATACTTCTTCCTTGCAAACCGTTTATTATTATCAAACTGAATTCATTACGGTTCATCCCGCGCCACCTGCAAGAATTGATGACCAACTTTAGTAGGAAGATTTTGCAATCAGTACTGGAATTTTTTCGAATTGAGTTCATTTGATCAACATTACGCTAAATTTTCTAGCCAAAAAAGGTGAAATTTGCACAATTATCGTGGGTTATCGACTCCACTACAACAATATTTTCCGAAGAGTATCCTCAGGACGAAAAGTGAATAAAGCCAATATGTAGTTGTAACTTGGCTAATCTCGTATAATTTAACCTAGCAATAAAGGATGGTGAAGATAAATCCTCGGATTTTTCAGCTGCAAGCTGACTATATTGTCTTCAGTAATCAGATAAGGAGGAAGTGCTGCCGCTGCTAAAGTGCAAGAGGCGAAAGCAGAAAAAAAAGGGTTCCAGCTTAGTCATGTTTGCTCTCTAACCTCGGTAGTATTTCATTATCGAAATAGATTCTCCTCAGAGATAGAAGAAGCTGAAAAATTAGCTGAAGCTCTGCGATAGCAAGAAATGAAGAAAAACGCTTTCATTTCCTTATCAAATCAAGCACGATGAAGAAGTTAAGGATTTAGCCGAAGCCTTTCAATACTGAGCGAAAACGAGAAAAAATTGCTAAAATTTTTCAGCAAAAGAACATAATGTTTGCATACTGCAAAATTTTTCTTTGAAATCGTAGGCTTCCCAACGAGCTCTCTAAAAGCAAGCTGTACAAAAAAAGGGCTTGTCAGACTTCCTCATGTGGAAAAAAGTGAGAAGAAGAAAGAATGTTATCTGAAGCTTCACGATAGTAAACGACAAAAAAGCTGCCATATTTTTTACATGAAAAAAAGAATGACGTTTTCTTGCTGGAATTTCAAGAAAAAAGTAGTAGGAAATGCACGTACTACACGTTTTTCTTGCACAACTTTCCGTGATATATACATGGTTTTTGTCCCCTCCCCCCCCTCGAGGTTTTCGGAACTGAATTTTTACAAAATTTCTTGAAAGTTCTTGCAAAGGGGCTGACATTTAGATACAACAATTAGAAAGTTATATAAATGACTTGCTTGTGACTCGGCTATCTAATTCTTTTATAAAAAATGAATGAAGCTCCATGAAGGGATTTTTTGGGGGCGGCCTACAGCAACGCCCATTTTCTCGAATTTCAAGGTTACTGGGTAGTCAAAATGCAAAATAGCACCCCAGTTTTGGAGAGGGGTGCTCTGTCAAGTTTCCTCTCTCCCCCCTGTTATATAAGTGAATTTTTGTTTGTTTTTAGTATGCACCTCACTATATATCGGACCCATTTTGCGTGAGCCTCCAGAGTTCCCAGCATTCGTAATTAACGAACATTTCCCATTGTTCGTGTCGAGATTCCAATACAAAGCCTGAGAAAAATGTTGGAGATTGCCGTTGTTGTAGAAAGCAAGGACTGGGTCGCCAACAACGGAATAATTAATATGTCGTTACTAATTATGTATTTACCAGTGCGTCACCTCCGCTTCGCGAAGGTTCGCACTGGCTCCCTATCCGTATGCCTTTCTCATGTTCGCATGAGAATGGCTTTAGAACTTACCACGCGATGCTGAGCATCACAGATGAATCGTAAACAACTGTTCATTCATGAAGCATCTCCATGTAAGGTCGGTAATTTTGAGAAAAAAAAACTTTGTTGCAAGGAAACAAATGTGAATTGGAACGGATTACTGAATTTATTTTAGTTTGATGATCGTCATAAGGGTAACAGTCGCCTTGGGCTATATTTCAGTGCAAAAATCTTTTCAGTTTTTTCAAATAAAGCCTTGCCAAATCGACCATCTACGCTTTCATCACTTTTTGGCGCTGTTTTCGCAAAAAAGCAAACTTTTCTAGCACTTTTTGGACGAGAATTTATGGCGCGCAGAGTCACTTGTCAGCCAATCATAACTTTGCAAAAAGTCGAATTAGCGACCCAGTTTTGGGTGCCAAAAGGCTCGTGGACCCGTTTGACGCCCAAATTTTGAGGGACCCGCTTATCAAACCGGCTCGTCCTTGTGCATGGTGGGCCCACACGCGGGCGCGGTATGTTATGCTAAATTGCAGCTTCCTCTACGAATTTCGTGACAGACAGATTTTCACACAGACACACACAAAAAAACAGACGGCCTTAGCGCGTTATTATAGTGGGATGAGAAGCACATATGTATACAACGCTATTGTTGGATATCAAGAAATTAAAGGATATTTCATAATCATTCTGTTTTTTCAGAGTAATTACAAGTTACAGTTTCAGAAAGATCTATTACAAATTCCATCACAGTTTTAATGGAAAAAGCCTAAAATTGTTTGTTTCTAGAAGAAATGTTGGCGTATTTTGGAAAAGTACTGGGTTTGGAAGAAATGATAGAAATGAAAAATGATCTTTACTTTTTCCCCAACTCTGATGAACCAAGTTTCCTGTTAGTGATGTTCAGAGCCTAAGCTAAGCCTAAGCCCAATATCTCAATCTTGCTGAGTTTTTTAGCGTTTGCAGATTTTCTAGTTCACTGCAATGTTTCAGATATTTTGCATTTTGGCAGATTGCAGGCTTTTTATCACACCGTCTCAATTTTCTATTTTTACTTGACTTGGAGATTGTTCTGCCAGTTTTTGGACTAATGGCTGATTTTAAAATTCTAAGAAGCCTTTAAAATTTGTCGCATTTTTGGTAACTAAATTATTTATAGCTCACTGTTCCAGATTTTTTCGGATTTCTGACAAGTTGCAAGCTTTTTGTATTCCATTTTTTTCAAATTTCCCAGATTACAGCTCGTATATATTCTTCATTTGCTTCCGCGCTCTTCATAATCAAGGAAATGGAGAAATTCAAAAGAAATCAGAGCTCACCTACATAATTTTTCCCCTTCTCACTAAAGCAGACGTCACTCTTTGTTGCTTTGCACTTTGAAGAGAACAGAGATAAAAAAACTTGAGGAAGCAACAGGAGTGGGATTAAGATTGGCAAAGTGGATGAAGAATTGACTAGGATTTCTCACTGAGGAGGTGTTATGAAGAGTCCGAGAATGGAGTAAAAACGATCAAACGAAGAATGATTACTTGTTTAGCGATGAAAAGAAAACAGAAATTAAACGAAGAAAATAAAGAAGTGAAGTTTTTCAATGCGAAATAGAAGAGAAATATTTTTTGAATTGGAAAAGAGTAACAAAAATTGACAGAAATAGAGACAATGAGACATTGGGTAGTTCTAGACAAAGGCTAGGGAAATGGGCGAGAAGCTCATTCAATTAGCCAAGACACTTCATGACGTCCTTCGTGATGATACTAAGGTTTTTTTGCTTGGTGATGATATATTATCCCCAAACTTAAGATGTATACTTACAAAGTACACAGTAGTATTCTCAACTCTGGAAAAAAATCAAGGAAAAAAGCGCTTCTGAATCTTTTTCTCGTTGTAAAAATCAAAAACGGAAGCTTCAAAGTTGCGCTAAATCTCCAATCTATTAACTAAATAACTAAGCAAGCAAAAAAGTAAATACGAATGTGCTTCTTTATTCTTATTCTTTATTTCAGCCAAATATCACTTATTCACCTGAACACTTTTTTTTTCACGAAATAGACTAATATTCAAAAAAGAAAAAAGGACTAAAGACACATAAAAATAAAAAACCCCCAACAAACATGGATTCGAAGTCAAAAAATTTAAAAAATGGAAATTTTGTTTGACAATAAAGCTATCTCAGTGTTTTCAGTGTTTGCTTCAAATTACCAAACATGGAAAACGTTCCAAAACTGCTCTATTTGCGTTTTTCTACGGACCAAAATAAACAGTTTCTAATTTCAAATTTTTGAAAAGCCCCTGTTCTAGAGCAATAAACTATATTCTAAGCTCATGCTAAGAATACATAATTCCGAAAGTCCAAGTGTCTTTGGCAAATTTACTTTTCTGTGTTATATAACGTCAAAGCCTACGCACTCAGACTCAAGTGTAACAAAATTACAGATATGTATAGAGTAAGTTAAGTATTTGTGACGAGACGAAAGCTCTCGGCTTGAGAATGTTTATCCTTTTGGAAAGGTTGAGAAAAAAAGGAGTGGGAAGCTTTCCTGTGAAGATTATGTAAGCAAAAATCAGATGATGAAGTATAGAGGGGAAAAATCATAAGGAAATGAAGACTAAAAATAATATTATCGCTGAGAAAAGTATTAAAAAAATAAAGGGTGCGTACAAGACTTACTTCCTTCATGAGGAGTTTTCTACATTATTCTACTTGAGAGCATCAACAAAATCTTGTTTAGAAACAAAACAGAAATTCATATGTTTTATTTTGTCGTTTCTTCCCTTAGACGGAATTTGTCTTAATTTCAGACTTCCTCGGAACTCCTCGATAAGGAAGGAAGACTTGGTATCAAATAAAAAGTTTAAATTTAAAAATTTTTTATCATTAACCTCATTACATTAAATTAGTCTCCATTTACAAGCTCAGTTTTATTGTAATTAGAAATTCTCAGAACACAAAATGACTGAGAAATCGAGAAAGATCGCTCGAGAAATGAAACTCTTTTGAGAGGACAAAGCTCTAAAGCTTGCACCTAATTAAGAAGATTAGTTGGAAAATGAGAATAGCACAAAAACGAGCGAAAGTATACCTACGCAACCGACTGGAACACTTTTTCCCAGAAAGACAAACAGACAAAGCTCTTCACTTAGATCGGAGGCATTGTTCTGAAGCAATTCGAGCATTAAAAATGCTCTCGAGACAAGAGGGAGAATTGTCCTAACTAGATGAACGGGAGGGGGAACGGAAAGGGGAAAACACGACAATCCATTAGAGAAAGCTAGAGGCACGCAAAGGAAGCTTCTAGGGGCAATATATCTCGAAGACAACAAGATTGAGAAGAATAGCTAGGGGCTGGCTGGAGGCTTTGGTGATTTGTCGGCTGATTTATAGCCCCACGGCCAGCAAAAGACTTAGTGGCGCTAATTAGATGAGCCTAGACCTAGACCTACATCCTCCCCCCCCCCTCCCCCCGCTGCACGGAGGGGGGGGGGGGGGGGTGGAATTAAGGATCGGGAAGTGCACTTACCGCAGCAACAGCTCCGCATTTCTATCGGAATGTCGTAGACGATTCGCAGATAACGGCTCACCGAATGACCGCATGCTAATGCCGCTCGGCTCCATACGCAACGACAATGAGAGCCCCCCGCGCCCGCCCCGCTTCTCGTAGCCCCCGCCGGTCCACTAGCGCGGGGGCCCAGCCCAGCTTCGTGTAGCACTCGTCGCGCGTGAGACGCGAGGTAAAGCAGCCACGCAGTCAGAGAGCCCGAGATTGCGCTTTCTAGGCTGGAGCGCGCCAGACAACCGCGAGCACTTGAGCAAAAGAACCGAGGTGATGAGAGCGTTGAAGATGCAAAACGTGAAAGAGTATCACTTTCTGAGAATTTTCGTCAATAATATCATTACCCTTTATCCTTTCAAATCCTTCTGCTTTACTCGGAAAAATGTTTAATGGTGCTAATCTAATAGGTTGGCTAACAAATGATTCCGAATGCTTCTGGGCTGGCTCTCACACATTTTGCAGACAAATTTTTGTCCAGTGTTCGTAGCTGTCGGAAAGAGCACTTTGATGAGAACTGGAAAAAAACTTTGTCCGAGTACAATTTTTTTCTCTGTAAAAAAGCTCCAAAGAAGTGAGGAACCACAGTTTTCCCATTGTGCGCAAATGTGCGACAATTTCTTTTCCATCAGGATTTGAACCTTCATTGATAATAGAAATTTCTGAGTAGTTGAGATGTAATAGGAGAAGCCCTAAGCTACTCTTACTTTAATTATGGGTAAAAAACAACAAAAAGACTTTCATAGAGAATTGCATTCTAATACCAAGGCGATATTCAATTATTTGCAGCATTAGAGCACATTGAGAAGGATCAAGATTTCATAACATTTACGACCATAAAATCATTATTACATGTGTTCATGAGCCAAATGGCAACAGACTTTCTGTGGAGCTACGGTAGGTATATGCTAAACTAAATACTAAATACACAAGCGTCCAAGAATGCTTGGAAAATGAGAGTATCCCTGCCAGTTGCAGCTTACCATGGTCCTAGAAAAATGTTAAGCAATCCAGCATAAGCAGGAAGTTTATGATCATGAGTTTTTGTTATCAAAACTGTTACCCTCACAAGACCGCCACAGTCAAGTAAGTGTCCTTCTGTGGTTACCGTAGGTACACGGTAAATGATCAATGACTTTAGATGAGAAAAAATGAAGTGGCGCCTTTGCAGCATATCTTGAAAAGAAATTGGAAGTTGCACGTGGAGATGGTACGAGAAACCTTTTCGAGGGAGGGAAGGAGGGAAGTAAAGGAGGATTTTCTCGAATAAAAGTGTGTACGAAAATTCCGAAACGTTGTGCAGTTTCATGACCACAATTTAGGAAAACATGAAATAAGAATCATGAATTTCTTGTTTATAAAATTGGTATGTGATGCGCTTGTTCGACTAAAAAGCGAGTTCGTTATTAGTGTCTTCTTTATGATTGTGTGTATACGGTGATAATAGCACTAGTTTGTTGTTTGAAGCAAAAGAAAACATAACGCCCTCGCTTTTATCGCTAATTTCACCTCAAAAGCAAGGAGGAGATTTATAAGATTTTGATTTTTTGGATTGAGCCAAATTGCTTTCAAGCATGTAGAGATTCGAATGGACTAGTTGAGCACGTAAGGCTAATGTGTGCAATTGCGGAAGTGGTATCCGGAGTGGGCGGGATTCGGAAGTCATCAGCAGTTAAGTGAGATCTCAGTCTATAGCTTACTTGGGATCTTCCACATTCTCTTGGCAGAGGGTAGTGAATAAATGTGGAATAAATATGGAAAGCCACTATAAAACACAAAAAGATTATTCCCAGTAGTAAGTGGTGTGCAATTACACTATCGTCGCCCAAATCTGACTATACGATACGTCTCAGCCATTTTTCAGAGCTATGAAATGTAAAAGTGCTTTTTTTCATTTGCATTATATGCGAAGATTATAGTGATATTTTTAGAAATTAAAGTAAGGGCTTTCTGCATTATTCGCGAGGAATACCACAGGTATGAACTAAAGCTTGAGGCAGACCACTTCGAAAAATATTTTGAAATTTTTTTAGCGCGGTGGAAATACTATTGTCTTCATGAATGAATTGTATGATTTATTACTAGAAAGACGCTAACTGTGGTTCAAGTGCTAACAAAAAGTTCTATTCGACGAGTCATTTAACTAGACTTTTATTTTAAAATACAACATTTCCACCTTCTAATGCTTGCAAAATATCTAAAAAAAAAACGAACAGCTTCCAGTCAGAAAGAGGTGTTTAGTCAGAAACCTCAAACACTTGAATCGTAAACTTTGTTGGGTACCTGATACTTGAGCGTTGAGAACTTAGAAAAAGTGCGATGACAAATTAGATCAGAAATTCAGACGCAAAAAAAACAATTTTTCAAACACAAGTTCGTAATTTCTCCTCCTCACTTCTGTTAAGGACAACATGTGCCCACGCTTAGCTCATTATGCTGAGTACTCGATGGCTGGCACACTTTTTTGCTTTTCTCGCTTTTGCCCACATCTCATTGTTTGCTTTGAAGAAAATCTATACACCTTTCCACGTCACGTCTCCAAGCTACAGGCTATTCCTCCACGGAGCGCTGAATTCTACTTTGGAAAATGAGATGAGAAGGGAAAGGTGAAAAGGTCAGAATGGCGAAATGTGCAAAAAAACTCTCCTTAGAGGCAGCATCCCCGCAAATTCTATGGCTCCCCCAATCAAACGTGGTCCACAAACAAGAAGGCCCTAGAAGTAGGACATCTACGATGGTCCGGTCCCCTTGTGTGGTTTTGAAGTGGAAAAATGGACCTGGAACCCGCGAAAGTGCTATCAAGCCACGCCCGCTCTATCAAGCTCCGCCCACCCAGGTACTGGGAGCACTCTGTGGTTTCAAAATAGGGCTCTTGAAAATCGGTGTAGGTTTTGCAATTCTGCACTTCATATTTGTAATCAGGACTATGGAAAGGTCCCAGAATGACAAAAATATGGGAGAATGAAATTGGGATGAATGCTGCCTGTAACGAATAAAAAATTATTGCTATCATGTTTATGCTCCTCCAGATACAAACGCCCAATACTTGCAGCTGAGCTACTCAAAACGATCTCCCCCTTCTCCCTCCCTCACCCCCACCCATACCCCCTCCCCCGCCAAGAATGGGTCGCGAAATTGTCAGAAAGTCATCATGTACTATAAAATTGTGCAAGTATCTTTTTTTACTCGTAAAATGTGGATATCATCACACCTTTTCGTTCCGAAATTCGGTCCTCCCCCCTTCCTATCAAAAATTTCGCCTCTCCAAATAAGACATTCTTAATCTCAAAGAATTTTTTCTTTAAACTATTATCATGGAAAAAAACGGCGATTCTGCATCTGAGACCTTCGAAAAGGACATAAAAAAGTGGAAAAGAGGAAATAGGAAGTTATAGGAAAGTTAAAGATGAAGGGGGAACAAAGAGACGAAGAGAATACGACCAGACGGGTCATTCCTATTGAACTCTCCAGGAATAAGTGCAGAAACCACTCAATTCAATAAACTTCCGGTAAGCCATTGTCGCTTTGCTGCTTTTGAGAAATTTCCGTTTTTTATTTTTCCTTTTCAAGCCATTTCAGACTTTGAACTCTGCACTTTATTATTATCAGCTTATTACTAACGCATCACAGCAGCTGATTGTTTCTCTGCCAGAAGGTACCGTATACCTGAACGAATTACAACTCTTGAATTGGTTTATGAATGGCTTGGGTGTTGAGCGAATCCTTTCTGTAGCATAAGCAAATAGGGAAAGAAAACAAACCAAGGTATGAATAAATTTTTCTGACAAGTTTTTGACGGTAAAAATCCAAAGTATTAATCTGGAATCTGTGAAATTTTTCATCAACTGCACAATATTGAGATGCAAACAAAATTTTCAATATATAGCGATTGTATGATAAATTCTTGAACTTTCTGTTGAATCAGAGAAACCTAGGACTTTGAAAACATGTTTCCCGTTTCATCATCACTTTTTTCAGGAAACTGGATCTGGAGCACTGGTTGCATATTTTTGCGTTTTTTCACTCGAATAATCAACAAGCTTCAACACTTCTGCCACAAGCGCACTACAGGGTCAAAAATCTGTAATAAATATTTTCTAAAATTTTTTCCACCATTGTGAGAATATAGGAGTACGGTAACCCATGCAGAGAATTATTATATACCGATCATTCGAGAATACTCAAAATGAGGCGTACAGTCAAATCATCTTATATGATCATTTGTGTCATTGCACACACTGTCCACCTTTGGTGTTCCTGTCCGATTATTCCTGAAGCCGACAACCCTTCATGTAAGTGTTTTCGATGTGCTTTCAATGTTTTCCTTCCTTTTTAGGTAATGATCATCTCAAAGTGATGTAAGCGATAACGATCGGTCAGTCTCCTGCGTTTTTGCGATCGCAAATCCAGGATACGGACGCAAAAGATGGACGGTGTTGCAATGCACACATGATCAAATGAAATGATTCGACTGTGCAATCACTAGTATTTCCTGAAACCTACCCCCCCCCCCTCAACCATCCAGAATTTGCACTCATGATCAAGTATGACTCAATGATAATTTGCTACCTCTCAACAGTGATTGAAAGTCAAGCACAAGCCACTCATCAGCTCCCTTAGTGCCTTCAAAAAAGAACCAAGAATAAAGATATGACACATGGGAAACTGGAGTAAATTAGTCAGAGATTGATTAACTCACGTTCACCGCATGCGAAAACTGGGAGAGCTATCCTCATAGATTGCTCAAAATCTGTTTATTTTTCTTGATTTTTGATTAGAAATAAAGATTTATTTATTCCGGTAAAGTAATCGGTTTATTGATATACAATCTAGATAATTTGAATATCCCTTATTGAATTTTTGATTCAAACGTGCAGAAAAAAATCACGTATTCTCAATATATTATATCATCCATTCTGAAAGAGAGAACTGTTGCACATTTGAATAATTTCAAACCACGCAATCATGGAAATTTCTTCCGAATGTTGAAAGAAACCTCTTATAGTCTCCTTATGCCAGGTTCCAAGTCGAATTTTATATTTGACACTTATCAAGGAAATGCCTT